TACTCATAGCAAAATTTTTCCAACTATCACCCTAGAGTAATTTTTTCTTTTCATTATGTTCTCAATTTTTAATATGGACATAAAGAATATTTCAAATCACTTGAAGAAAACAATGATACAAATAAAAAACTACAGTATTCATTTTATGATTAGGAAGATTAATGTTTTTGAAACCACAAACATTATTTTTAAGGAAGAAACATAATAAAAATCTAAGTGTATCAGTTAAAAATCATGTCTGGCACATGAAAAAAATATTTAAAACTGTTCTCAAGTCTTACTGAAAATTCAGTGAGACAGATAAATTTGACATACCCCTGAGAAATTTTATTCATGGTAAAAATATTATGTGCATAAAATCAACATTTCTATAAAATTTACATGTAAAAGTTTATGTCTAATTAAAGTATGATATTCTGAAACTAAAGTTTGAAAAGTCAAATATTATTTTTGAAATACATTAATGAATCCCAGATATGCACATCATTTTCTGGTAGACAGCTCGGTCTACATTCTTGGAGGCCTGCTGCTACTCATCCCATCCATGCGAGATCCCCACTCCATAAACCTCTGCAAGACAGATCCCCTGCAAGTACAAAATATGAGATATGCCCCGTACATCTCATGCTGCATCTTACAGTACACAAAGCTACTTCCAATTAAAGATTCTTGCAGCCATCAGAATTCACTAGCTTTGTCTGTATCCCTTGAGGACATCTCATTTTCTGAGCAAACATAAGTTTGGAGAAACGAGGCACTAAAATTTGTCCAGTAACTCTAGAATGTTGCTGCCACAAAGGGCAACACAGCTCTACCTGAAATCCAACAGAACTGCAGTCATCAGCGACTACCAGGTCTGTCAATATCAGGGACCACAGGATGGCTAAAGTACACATGGGAAGAACATATTCAACAGTACCCAGGGCACTATTTCAAAACAAGAAAAGAGAATATATATACTGTGTATACTGTATAAACTTGCAAATACACTAGCAAACCTTATATACACTAGCAAAACTTAATTGCAAGAAAATGGCCTTAAATCTCATGTTGTGAAGATGATAGAGACCATTTAAAAAATGAGTAAATCCTATAAAGTTCAGGAAAATACAATCCAATATGTAGATGTCCTTAAAAGGAAAATAAATAAAATCTAAGAAATAGAGGAAAATACAATCAGATGGATGAAAGGAATGAATAAAAATGTTCACAATCTGAAAAGAAAAATAGAAACAATGAACAAAACACAAACTTTCAAACCTAGGCAAGAGAACAGGAGCTTGATACACAAGCATCACCAACCAAATAAAGATATGAAAGAGAAAATCTCAGATATAGAAGATACGATAGAAGAAGATAAATTAGATGAAGAAAATTTCAAGTCACAAATATTTCTAACACCAGATTTGCAGGAAATTTGGAAAAGTATGTAAAGGCCAAAGCTCATAAAATTATGAATAGATGAATGAGAAGATTCCCAGCTTAAAGGCCCAGAAAATATTTACTACAAAATCATGAAAGAAAATTTCTCTATCCTAAAGAAACATATGGTTTAAACATTTATGAAGTTAACAGAACACCAAATAGATTGGATACAAAATTCAATCCTCCTAGTACAATATTCCAAAGACTAAATGTACCGTAAAATAATAAGAATACAAATGGCTATCAAAGAAAACTGCTAAAAAATCATATAAGGACAAACTTACCACAATTACACCTGACTTCACAACAGATAATGTAAAAGCTGGAAGGGCCTAGATATATAATATTACAGATATCAGACCAGAAATTATATCCCCCAAAATATTAAATTACCATCAATAAAGAAAAGCAAATATCCATAAGCAAAGCAAAGATAATAAAAAAATTCTATTAATACATCCCCATAAATAATAGTGGGAGGATAACTCAAGTACTAGAAGGGTAAATACACCCCATAAAAAAATACAAGAAATAAAAAATTCACGCCAGGAAAAGCAAAAGAAGATAAACACATACACACACACACACACACACACACACACACACACACAAGCACTCACATACATACCCCACACCGTTATCAAAATAATAGATATTAACAGTCATTCTTCATTAATATCTGTCAATATAAATGGATGGAATTTCCCAATTTAAAAAAAAAACAGACAAAATGTATGGATGTTTGACCACAATCCATCATTTTGCTGTAAAAGTAAATAATAATAATCACCTAACCAACAAAGACAAATACTACATCAAAGAAAAGAGCTTGATAAAAAGTTGTTCTAAGCAAATAAACACAAGAATCATGCTGGAGTAGCCATTTAATTAGCCATATCTAATTTAAGAGATATTCAACCAAAATAAGCAGAACAGATGGGAAACCACACTTTTTATGTATAAAAGGAATAATCTACCAGGTGAAGTCTCAATTCTGAACATATAATATATCCAGTATATATCTCTATATTTTCTAGTTTATTAACATCTATCTATCTATTTGAAACTATTTTCTGAATAAAAATCCATTTTTCCTAGAATTAAGATCAATAGTTTACAAATTTGAATTTATATAAATAAAATACTTCCAGGCAGCTTAAGAAACTATAACTGAGAAAAGTGCAAAGGACTAGCATCAGCTAACAGAAGCAATCTCAGGGAGGGATATCTGGCAGTAATGAATGAATGACTCAAATTCAAATCATGAATTACAGGCTGATTTACTGTGTTCTACTGGAGACAGATTTCAGACAACTATTTTTCAAGAGACTTCTCTCCTGGAATTCCAAAAACTCTCTGAACAGAATTGTGAAAGACACAATTCTAAGTACAGTTTACATTTTTGATAAAATTCTTTTTGTCTATAATCATAAAATATTATTTATAAAGACTTAATGATACAATAATTAGTACTTACTGCACAGGCAATTTCATCCTTAATGAAATTATTAGTATTATTCAATTAAAGATTCAAAGTAATCCCTTCTTGTTTAAAAAAAAATATTGTCCTGATATTGTCATCTTCAGCATGTTTCCATTAATAGATTTTACTATTTTGCCAAAATATTTCTCTAGGGGGAAATATTTTGAATAAAACTTTTAGGTACAAGAATTGCATAGAAGACTATACTCAGGACATACAATGAATATCAAAATATGTGCCAAAGGGGAATTTTCATCTAAAATCCTGAATCTCATCACCCAAGAATGGGTCTAATTGGTACTGTTCCATATACCTGAAGTTATGTTCTTTGAAATGACAGTGACATTATCCATAAAACACACACACACACACACACACACACACACACACACAACATAAACACTGAGAAAACCTCAGGGTTTGTCTGCTCAGGATATATACACTTATTAATTGCTGTCTTGGCATTTGTTTAAAGCAATTAAATTATTTTTTTGAGACAAGATTCTGTTGGTATTATCAATGAGTTAATGTAGAATTAGAATGATACCATCTCAGAATAAAATAAAATGAATACTAATCACACCAAGGCTGGATTAAGAGAAGACAATAGTAATATATTTATTGATAACTCTGACAAAGAAGGGATGAGATTTAGTTTTAAAATTACCTATAATATATACCCTATAAAAAGCTCAAAGACTAACAAAACAATAATCTTCACATAAAATTTATCTCACAAACGTCAATATTCTACCCTACTTAAATATACAGAAAACTATGCTACTGGTTTTGATTAGGAAAGTAATGAATATTATCCACGATTTGATCCTTACATTTTAAAATACAATTCTTTAATATGTTAGAACATAAATTCTATACCATGATTAATGAATGGTGTCAGCTGACTACTGTGTGAACATTTTTTTTCTCGTTTTTCTTCCAAATAAATACTTAATATGAATATAAGCTGTGTTTGGGGTAAAATGTTTGCAATTCCTAATGAAATATAGGGTTTTTCTGTGGTTGTTCTCTGATAATGAGTAAGGTTTCAATATTATGTAAATTATTACAAATATATTTCTCATTGTAAATAATGGAATTCTGTATGAGGACTAGAAGTTTAATTACCTATCATGTTAGTCTCTTGCAAGGATCTTTTTTGTGGTCTAAGTATTGAGCTTGTGATAAATGATTTGCCATAGTCTTGACATTTGTAAGGTTTCCCTCTGGTATGAATGCTAAATTTGGTTTACAAATATGATTTCTGAATGTAGAACTTTCTACATTCCTTACATTGGTAATGATCTTTTGCAGTACGTATTCTGTGGTCACCATGAAGATTTGAGGACAAGGTAAAGGATTTGCTTTCACATTCACTATATTTGAAAGGTTTGTCTCTAGGATGTATTCTACTGATGAGGCTGAAGAGTTGAGGACTTTGGAAATAAATGTCCACTGTTACCACATTAATCAGGATTGTCTCCTGTATGGATTCTATGCTGAGACTGAAAATTTGAGGAGCAGGTATAGGATTTCCTGCATTCATTACATCTATAAGAATGTTTTCCAATATGGATTCTTTGATGACCTTAGAGAGATTTACCCCAGATTAAAGAAAGGCCACATTATTTACATTTGTAGGGTTGAACTCTAGAATTGATTCTGTAGTAAGCTTGAAGACGTGAGAACCATGTAAATTATTTATCACACTTATTATGTTTCTAAGGCCTGGGTACTACATGGATTCTCTGGCGAACTCTGAGAGTTGAAGAATGGATGAAGGATTTTCCACATTCATTACACATGTAAGTGTTCTCTCCAGTATGAAATCTACACTGAATGAAAAGTTGTGAGTGCTGTGTAAATGATTTACCACACTTATTACTATTTTTACATTGTATGTCTAGTATGGATGCTGTGATGATCTCTAAGACTTGAAGAACGGGTGAAGGATTTCCCACATTCACTACATGTGTAAGGTTTCTCACCAGTATGAATTTTGTAGTGGACATGGAGTTGTGAGGACTGTGTAAATGATTTACCACACTTATTACATTTGTAAGGTTTGTCTCCTGTATGGATTCTGTGGTGAACTCTAAGTCCTGTGGAACAGCTGAAAGATTTCTTGCATTCACTACATGTGTATGGTTTGTCTCCAGTATGGATTCTGTAGTGAATTTTAAGATCACAGGACTGTGTAAAGGATTTCACACATTCACTACATTTGTAAGGTTTCTCACCAGTATGTGTTCTGTAGTGAACTTGAAAATGTGATAATTTTATAAATGATTTACCACACTTATTACATTTGTAAGGTTTGTCTCCAGTATGGATACTGTGGTGATCTTTAAGATTTGAAGAACGGGCAAAGGACTTCCCACACTCATTACATTTGTATGGTTTGTCTCCTGTATGAATTCTGTAGTGAACATGAAGATGTGTGGACTGTGTAAATGATTTACCACACTTATTACATTTGTAGGGTTTGTCTCCTGTATGGATCCTCTGGTGAACTCTAAGACTTGAGCAACGGCTGAAAGATTTCCCACACTCATTACATTTGTAAGGTTTGTCTCCAGTATGAACTCTGTAGTGATCATGAAGTTGTGTGGACTGCGTAAAGGATTTACCACACTTATTACATTTGTAAGGTTTCTCTCCTGTATGGATTCTATGGTGAACAATAAGGTTTGAGGAATTAGTGAAGGATCTCCCACATTCATTACATTTGTAAGGTTTGTTTCCAGTATGGTTTCTGTTGTGAACTTTAAGCCTTGAGGAACAGGTGAAAGATTTTCCATATTCATTATATTTGTGAGGTTTTTCTCCTTTATGGATGCTTTGGTGAGCTTGAATATTTGGTGACCTGGTAAATGCTCTGGCTATCTGAGTTCCTTCTCCTTTGTGGCCTGAAAAATGTGGAAATATATATGAATTGAAATTCAAGATTTTTTTCACATGTTATATCCCTGAAAATAATTCCTTTAATATTCTTTATATTTTACATCTCTAATTTTAAAACACATTTTATGAAATATATCATATATTTTCTAATATGTACAAAAATCATGAGCA